TCAATGGGTTGCTTGCTTTGCTTGAGCCCCATGTCCGATGCCAATAATGCTTCCTTGTCATATTTATTTACAGGTTGAAGAGCCATCTGTGCATAAACCTCATCAGTTTCAGGATCAGCCTTATCCCTGTCATCTGTCCGTTGATTCCAGAAAAACTGCTCACAGCGATACAGCCATCCCAAAGGATCTTCGACGCCGTTGTATGAAGAGAACTCCAGCCTGCTGTACTTGGGTATGACTGCGGCTACTGGGGCGATGACTTGCTGTTCGCCGGACGACTCCGCCAAGTCTGGTCAGCGGTTGTTTGTGGTTACAACCCCTTCTGGATTCCTCTCCTTGTTAGAGAAATACGATTCCAGTAAACATCGCAGCTCCCGGACATCGTCTTTAACCTCACGAACCTCCACGCGGGTTTCCACGAGCCTATGCTCCAGTTCGTGGACCCTGGATGATAGCTGCTCCAGATCACCCATGACGCCTTGCTCTGATACCATGTTGTTATGGGCCCGGAAATAGGATCTCGTCACGGGTCGGTCCACAGGGAAAAACTCATGTTTTCCCTTGTTCCTTCCTGCTCTTGATGAACCTATCTTGGCGCCTTGGTGATTTGTTCAAGAGATCACCAACTCTCCTAACTCACTTCTTTAACTGAATATCCGATCCTTCATTCGATAATGGTGTCTCCTTAAATAGGAGATTACAAGAGTCCTAATCTTAGGGAGTCTCCTTGCTGAATAGGGAGACTTCCAATTCTATCTTGCTAAGGATAAGATAAGCTAATCCTAATATGATAATAAGATAAACTAATCCTAATCTGATAACAAGATAAACTAATCCTAATATGATAATAAGATAATCTAATCCTAATCTGATAACTTACTAACAAGATAAGATAAGAGCAATAGAATAAGATAAGAACAAGCAAGATGATCTAATCTAATCTGGTGGTGGGTCAGGATCCTATCGCTGTCGGCGGCGATGGTACGTCTTTCCGATGAATGCATCCATAACATTGTGTTGATGCAGSATGGAGCAATTTACGTCAGATGAAGTTCGGGAGCAGGATTATAAAGAGAGAAGCCAGAGGTCTGAGTTCTTTCAGTAGTTGGTCCTATCAATCATTTTCTAAAACCCTCTGCAACTTGAGCGGGTCTGTAGTAGCTGCTATGTCTGGAAGAGGGATTTTAGTAATAACCAAAGGCCAGCAGTATTTCTACTGTTGTAGCAAGGCAATGTATATTTATCTGTATATCTGTAGTAGCAGGAGTCATAGTGTTGTGTAGCAAGTACTTAGTAGATATACACTCTCATCAGCACTGATGCTCCTTTAAATCTTTGCTTTCCATTGCTGTTACATGATATCTGCAGATATGGCTTCCAGGTCTAAGGCTGCATTTGGCATTCCTTGTTTTAAGGACTCCTTTTTGCGGTTAAAATGCCCCCAACGCCAAAAAGAGGTAAGTCCTTGAAATAAGGAAAGGCAAATGAAGCCTAAGACTTAAAAATTTTTACCATTGCTAAAACCAACTGCCTCTTTCGAGAGAGAGAGAGAGAGAGAGAGAGAGATCGTATTATAGTGTCGATACTAATAAAGAGAGACAGAATATTGACAAAGAACCTTTAATATTTCATGAGAGAATACATGRCAATCATTATAAAGGGAATTGTGATCAAATTCATTTGTCGCAACTGATCTCTCAGCTTCAACAGCATCTTCTTCTTCCACTCCCTCTGATGCCTCTGCTCCACCACTAGATCAGAAGCCGGTACTGGTGGTGCAGCAGCAATAATATAATCTTGTCTTCTTTTCTTTCTCTTGTAAACAAAGCCGTCRTCGTTGCACAACTTCCACTCTTCCTCCCAAGCTGTTCCAACCATGGCCAAGCACCTCAAGTCAAAGCTCAAATTTCGGAGAGTTTCGAATTTTGGAGGGCTTTCGAATTCCGGGGGTGTCAAGGGTTTGAAACAGCATCAGGAGGCTCCCACTCCGGCGGGTTCAGATCTGTGAATGTTAGATAATGAATGAGAAAAAAAATATAAGAAATGAAAAAACTTATAGAGTACTTACCTCCTGCCGGTATGGTCRTCGGCATCGACCGGCGGAACTCGACCAGGTTAATCTTCGGTGAGTGGGTTAAGAAAGGGGGCCGACGCCAAGAGTTTCAGTTCAAAGTAGAATGGAGAAATATGGGAGAAGAAACACTTTTGGGAAATAGAGGAATTAACAGAGGTGCATTTCACGACATGAAATGGGTTCCACACGGGTCCCGCTTAATGCGTGTGTGTCATGACACGCGTCGCATTCCGGTTTTGTGGGACATTTTTGGGGGGCAAGTATGTGGGGTGGGGGGGGGGCAGATGCGAACCCTTAAATTAGGAGACTTGAAAGTGTGAGTTAATGGGGTGGAAGTGGAGTTAATAGGGTCAGTTAATGGGGGTGGTGTGAGTTAATGAGTGACTTGGATTAAAAATTTAAAACGGGTCTATATATTGGGTCATGGTTTGTATATCAACTTGTATTATCTTGTCTAATGGATACACATTGATGTATAATATATCCCAGGGCATATCATTCTATACTCGTGGACATGGGTAAAATGGTAGCAAAACTATGCCATTCTAGTGTTCCATATATGTGCAAATAGACTTCAAATACAATATATTTCAGGTTATATTGGTTGATACATATCAATACTTTAAACATTGGCATGTTCTTAAATTGTGTTTTTGTTTTTTGAGAAGCAAAACTAGGTTGGTTTTGTTAAAAAAAAAACAATTCATGTGTTTAAAACCACCAAAATGATCATTCCTTTTAAAAGAAAACAAATTTTGGAGCACATATATTAAATGTTCTATGAAATGCATTAACAGATTATTGGATGAAAATATGTTTTTCAAACCATAAACTCAAGAAATGATAATTCCTTTTTTCATACATTAAGAGAAGACAACAAATGTGCCACCTTGTTTGATAATAAGGGTATCAATGAAGAAAACTTTTATGCTTACAATTCCATCAAAAAGGTTTCAAGAGAGGCAATGTTGTTGCTTAAAGAAGACTATTTTGGTATTTTGTCTCTTCGTGTAGGTTAACGGGCTTGTTGGTTTATGATTGGTTTTTGTTTTTTTTTTCTATTTTTTGAGCCTTGTATTAAGTTAGGATGAGAAGGTGAGGTTGTGCATTCTATTGTTGTGTTTCAAGGCAAAGTTGGTTTTGTCCCCCCCTGTATTGACTTGCCTCCCTTTTGATAATGTTTAATAAAATTCTTAGGCGGCCGCCCTTCCACCTGGAGTAAACTTAGGGGTATTTAAAAAATAAAAACTCAAGTAAACTGAAACAAAAAAGACACACATATACAACCAAGAACATGCTTCTATTTTATGTTTATTTTTATTTTTTGTGTGTTCTAAAAACCAATTTGTTTTTATGTATACCAAATGCACCAGTTATTTTGGATTAGAAGTGGGTTTGTGTCAACTTAGGATTGTCAAAAATTATGAGGAAAGGAATTTCTTTCTTTGCATCAACCTTCTATTCCTATATCTAAATGTGGAGAGAAAATCCACTTGAGTTGCCTTTTCCAATATTGGTGATATAGGGGTTGATGAGATTCAAAGGGGAGAGAGGCTATRAGCCTTGGTGGTAGCTAGAGATGGAGAATGAAGGTGGTTTCTAGGTTCGATTATCTCTCAAGGAAGTCTTGCTCTTTACTTTGAAGCTTAGAAGGTCTGAGGCATGGTGGAAAACAACAATAGTGCTTTGATTCATGGGCTCAAGAATAATAGAAAGGATTGGCTAGTAGAAGTCTTTTCCATTTCTCACTATTTCACTCCATGCCTCTCTTGGCTGCCTCCTAACCCTTCTATACCCTTCAACTTGTATATGTTATCTTTTTTCTTTATTGATGGTATAGATTTCCTTCAATATACACATGTCTAACCATCATAAGTTTTTTTTTTACCACCTTTGGGTTATAATACTTCACCATTCAAGGAAGAAATAATTTGCATCAAAATTGAAATTTGTTTTTTCTTATTTTGATTTTTAGCAATTGGCGATTGCTAAGCTTTTTAACTCTACTTTCTTCCTCCGTGTCCTTTTCACCTCTATTTTTTTTTTTTTTTACATTTTCCTGTTTTTGTATATGTAACCATTTGGTTGAAGGATGAGATTGGTTTAATGAATGAAATTTCAATCATTTTTATTATTATATTTCAAAAAGTTATAACATATTCAACTGAAGCATCTTAACAATTTGTTCTTGGGAGAAATGGTTAAGAAATTTATTTCTGACATATTGTTCAGGTTATGTGCTTAAATCATGGAAAGAGCATTTACGGTTTTGTTTCCCAAAGCATGTTTATATACCTGTTTCAGTATACTTGTATATATGAACATGGATGGTGAGAGAGAAAATGGTGTCTAGAGATCCATGAATAAACCAAAGTAGGCTTAAACAAAAACAACAAATAACAACAGATTAATCGAGTAACCCTTTTGAAAACAAGTTGTGCCTTTTTTCTTTGGTATTACAGGAAAGGGGCTTGAGTTGGGGAAGGGGAGGTTAATCCATTGATTAAAATGTCGATACTATACGCCCYATATCAGTGTATCCAAATATGTTTGGATACATCGACACACAAATACTTTTAAAATTTTAAAAGGTCCCAGACTTATTATGGGGCTCCTCAACAAATGGGTCATCAATCTAGTTCAAAATATGTGAAAGAAGGGATCTTATATTCACATGATTTTGTCTAAAATTCTTATCTTCATTGGGCAGTTAACCTATTTCCTAACCCGTCTCCAAATAACACCATAAATGCATTCTTTAAGAGGGGCATGGATTGGCCTTAAAAGCACACGAGGTTTAAAAGGAGGAAGGCATTACTTTGATAATGGATCGAAACTTGAAAGGGGCTCCATGGATGAAGCCTCAAGGCCTTTTGTATTCCCAGCTCACGAAACTGTTAAATATTGTGAAGGAACTTAGAACATGTCAAAGCCATCTAAGTTGCCCTACCATTTGATCCATCAACAAATAAATTGAACAAGCTTGAGGGTGTGATGTGTCTCTGGTTACAAACTCATGAACCACATTATTTACTTCAATAAAACTATAACCAAAGCTCTTTCTAGCTCCTCTCCTGAGCCTCTCCACATCACCCCATCTTTCTGAAGTTGCAAACACATTCGACAACATTACCAGATCCCCTGCATCATCAGGATCCAGCAACCTTAATCGACCAGCTGCTATCTCTGCCAACTTGAGGTCCCCATGGAACAGACAAGCACCCACCAATGATCGCCAAACAGCAGCATCCGGCTCAATGGGCATTTCACTAATAAGACTATAAGCCTCCTCTATTTGCCCCGCCTTCCCCAGAAGCTCAACCATACATCCATAGTGTTGGACCTTAGGCTCAACTCCATAATCCCTGATCATTCTATCAAACCACATCTTCCCCTCTTGCAACAGTCCTGAATGACTACACGCACATAAGATGCTGGTGAAGGTCATGTCATCTGGCCTGATGCCAACTCTTTTCATCTCATTTAACAAGTAGAGTGCATGTGTACCGCGCCCGTGCATGGCACATACATCGATCATGGTGCTCCATGAAACAATGGTTCTCACAGCCATCTCATCAAACAACTTGCATGCATCGACGAAGCTGCCACATTTCCCATACATGTCGACTAGTGCATTGCCCAAGGGAACCACCTCACAGAACCCACTTCTACAAGCAAGACCATGAACCCATTTACCCAAGAACACTGCCCCTATATTAGCACAAGCTGAAGCAACGCTAACTAAGCTGAACTGATCAGGGCTCTGATTATCCAACCTCATTTGACAAAAAATTCTCAAAGCTTCCCTCCATCTCTCACTCCTTACACAACCAGAGATCATAGAATTCCATGTCACAAAACTTCTGTACCCAAGTCCATAGAAGATGGTTTTAGCAAGGTCCAATTCTCCACAACTTGTATAGAAGTACAAAAGACTTGACTCGACGTGTAAATCAAGCAAAAGCCCGAGCTTCACAATCTGGCAATGCACTTGTTGGCCTGTTCTTAGATCCAACAATCTTGAACAAGCTTTGAGTAGAAAAGGGAATGTGAATTTATCTGGCAGAACACCAACACCTCCTTTATTTGTCATTATAGAGTACCAGAGGAGAGCCTTTTCGGGTTCTTGACTCTGTGAAAATCCTCGAATTATGGTATTCCACATGAAATGGGYTGGATTCTCGACGTGGGTTAGCATTAGACAAGCGTAGTTTAAGTCACCATTATCAGCAATGGATAAGAAGGCCAGGAGCTTGTGGAGAGCTAATGGGTTTGTGTCCATGGCTGTTTTGATGATATGGGCGTGGAGTTGTTGAAGGTGGAGCATGTTGGTGATGCAATCTAGCATGGGTAAGCACCTCCTTAGTCTGTCTGCAATTCCCATCACAATCTCATGGGGGGTGCACTCTTCTCAACAGAAGTTGGAGGAGTCATAACTAATAATTGGCATAATAATATGCTATGAGGAAGTTTTATTTTAGTGCTTCTCTCAATGGGTAGGTAACATTCACTATTTTGATGATGTGGTGCCTAATAACGCCTAAGTGTCAATAAATAAGTTCATTATTGTTTTTCTCAAATTTTTAAATAAATCAAGTGCAAAATGTTTAGTAAATAAACATCCATGGTTTCAAATATATACTATATTTAGTTGGGCTTGACACGTATGGGGCATATGGATTGATATGTGTTTTCATTGAGTTTGTTTTTTATGGTTGAGAGAGCACCATCTCAACCTGCTACAAACTCTTTTCTTTGTGCAAATTTCTTAAAATACTCCTATGGTTTAAAAAATTGACTAACTCTGCACTTACTATTTACATATTGTCTTAAAATACTTTAAACTTTGTCACAATTAATATCACAAAAAAATAAAATATCATATTTGCCCTCAACTATTCCTCAAATTTTTAAAATAAAACCCATGAAAAATTTTAGAAACTAGAATTAACCTGTCAATGGGTTAATTACATTGAAGGTGAGATAAGCTGATTACACAGTTTCCTAGCAAAGTTTGAATATAACGTCCACTTATTTTGAAAACTTAGGCTCAGTTTTGAAAGAGTGCAAATGCATACAAAATAATACAAAATGTAAGATTTATTTGTATTCTACATATTTGCATTTGTACTCCTTCGACACGAATTGCTGATAGGAGTAGAGACCCCACATGCGGTAGGAAGCCCCACGGCTTTGGTCTGATTCAAAGTAACACCAAACTGGGCTCACAAAGACATACTGGGTTGGTCTTCAAGACCGTCTTCAGTCCCACTGCAACACGACCCTAGTGGCATGTGTCCACGATATTCAAAGGCAACAAGGAGATGGCGCTGCTTATCGATGATCAGTCTTAACTTTTTCCTTGTATTTAGCAGAAGATGTCATCACAAGCCCGTCCGTTAGAAAACTGGACCTCTATACCCAAGAAGGTTTGCAGCTCCAGCTTTAATGGAGCCTATTAATCTCTTGTTAATTTGTCCCTGTTAGAGATTAAAACCTATTCAAGGACCTCACTTAACAGCTTAAGCTTGTAGGTTGAATGTTTTATTGAGTTGGTATCAGAGCCACTTTGACCAAGTGGTCTAGTGCTCAATTCTTATCACCCCCATTATAATTTATTAAGTTTCAGCATAAGGTATGGGTGGGCCGGTGCTGTCCATGCTTCAAGTCCAATGGGCTCTCATATGAGGGGACATGTTAGAGATTAAAACCTATTCAAGGGCCTCACCTAACAGCTTAAGCTTGTAGGTTGAATGGTTCTTTGAGAGTCCCGCTTCTATATACACCAATCCACTTTTTTTTCTTAGATCACGCAGTTGCACTGATGGCACACAGTGTTTAAGAGTCAAGCTAGGCCACACCAAGGCAGTCTTCAGATTCAAGATAAAAAAACCATTATTGGTGGCACACAGTGTTTACGCAGTTACGCTTAAATGGAGTCTTTTCACTTGAATGCTTGTTGTTTTAAGGGGTGAGATTTTGGGAACATGTGGTTTGTCCTTGATTGCCTTCACCAATCCTCCTTGATCTCAGTCAAATTTAATTTTCAAGGATACTGATTCACCAGAGGCAGAGTCGGAATTAAGGACGAAGATGGAGATAGAGTCAAAGAAAGAAATAGAGATAGAGATGGAGACGGAGAGGAAGATGAAGACTGAAATGGAGTGGAACCCTAAAAGGGTATTTTAGGAATTTTAAAAAATATATCAGTTACGTGATGTCATATGTGAATAGAGTGTAATGGAAAGCTAATGGCAAAGGAGGTTTTAGACATTTGTCAGAAAACTTAAGGGTATTTTAAGACAATACTTAAACAGTAAGGGTATAGTTAGTCAATTTCCTAAACCATAATGGTACTTTAAGAAATTTGCCATTAATATAAATGGGTGAAAACTATGTATTGTGACATTATATATGAAATCCACTAGGGGAAAAATCTGAGGCTCAAGTTTGGGCTTGAGCGTAATTCGAATTAGAAACATGAGATCAAATTTGGCTCAACTCAAAAGTTCATATATTCGAGCTTGACAATGAACAAAAAAAAATTATATATATATATTAAAAATTTTGTATATAAATAATTATTTCTTATTATACATATAAGAAATTATCTACGATTATATATATAAAAATTTAAAACATTATATATAATATAAACTCAATTATTCTTAAGAGCTTCATTGTGTTTGAGAATAGTCAATTAACGAATGAACCTATATGTTGGGATAGAACTTGGCTCAAAGCTCGGTTTAGACCTAGCCCAATCAAGCTTTTCATGAGTTGAACTCGAATKACTCATGTAAAGCTTGGTTTGTACCCACCCGTAAAAGTCACTTCAACTAGAAAAATGCATGAGTAATAGGGGTGGCAAATGGGAATGGGTTGGGTCAGGTATGGGTTAACTGATAATCCACCAATTAGTGACCCACATCCACTTGCCATCCATATTAATTACATGTTAGTGTGTCATATCTCACCCTAACCCACTCATATTACTGCCACATGGGAATGCAGGTTGAGTCAACCTTCAAGCCTGAAAATTCTAGTTTAATGTTGTATTTGGATTGATAGAAAAGGTAGGGAAAGGAAGAGAAAAGACATGTAAACTTTTGTTTCTTTACTTCTTCTTTCAAACCAAACACAACCTAAACAAAGGTAAAGTTTTGTCCCTTCTCTTTGTTACCACATGGGTCGAGTCAACTAGTATAACAAAAAAATGCAAGAACTTGCAGAATTTTCTATAAAAATTGTAGAAAATTATTGAAAAATTAAAGAGAATTGTAGGAAATGTAGAATTGTTACAGAAAAAAATGCAAGAAAAATGGAGTTGTAATCCGAAATAAAAGGACTAGAAATGTACTAAATGTAATTATAGTTTTAAAATGGACTAACTATTAATTAAGAAAGTTAATAAAAAGGTAAAAGACTTAAACAAGTTTTTGGAAATTGACTTAAAAGATATCTTACAATTTTAAAATGAACTTAAACATATTGTAACTTTTTTACCCTTTATTTTCTTTAAAAAATTCAAAAAGCAATAAAAGAATTGCTGAAAGTAAGTTCATTTACATAAAAGGTTCTATTTGAGTTGGGGGTTGAGTTCATAATTTCCGCTCTTCTTAAATAAATTCGTATTCAAATCAACGTAGAAAAAAACAAAGCAGAAGAATAGTTGAAAGTAAGTTGATTCGTGTTCAAATCAAATTGAACATGAATTTGTGTTCAATTTTTTTCATTGAATACTTAAGACAATCCAAATACAATGATTGGAGAGAGCCTCACTAACACCCTTGGGTATAGACACAGAATCAAGAGAAGAGAGAAAAGCACRGTAGGAAGGAGAAWGTYYACTRTAGGATAAGTATTGTGATATGCAATGAGCAGTGCACTTCCTCTTCCCTTTTCTAAGAGCAATAGGGAGATCAAGGTTATCTGTAACAGTGTTAGTGGGACCAATGGGAACTGAAATAGTAGAGGGATCAAGATGAATACCTGGATCTGTATCAGCCGAATCTGGAGTTTCCAAGGGATCGACAGGAAGTGGTGTGAGTTCTGCTGTAGTGGAATCAACCTCCTTATGAAGTCTCTGTCGTGAGTAATACTGTGAGACGGAACGCAAAGGGGGTGGCAATGTAGGTGACATCGGATGGTTGTCAAGCACAGTAGTAGACACAGGAACTGGAACTGGGAGAGGGATAGACTGCTGACTTACTTCCCCAAAACACACCCCCTGAGAAGGATTCCGTGAGA